TAAAATAATCTAAAGAAAAGCTAATCAAAATTTTACAACTAAGAATGCTCTTCTTTTATCATATCCCATAATTAAACACAATGATAATAATAATTAAGCATGCATAATATTTTAGAGATGATAACAGTACACAAGAACTAGTGTTCACATAAAATGATATAACAAACACAATACTGCACTACAATGAATAAGAACAAGACATTACAGAAGCAGAAAAGGAGTAGAGTAGAGAGTATAACAAAAAGATGTCTCTCAGCCGTGATCTCTTCTTATCTATTGAAGCTTATATATACAAACATGGAATAATTAGCCAAATTTTTTACTGATGATTATGTGAAAACTATTTCAATCGATCCATTACTGATCCTTCTGATCATCAGAATCGTCAGTATTAACCTCGTCATCCTCGCTATCATCTTCGTCAGACGAGAGAGGCACGAGCCAGCAAGCACCGTGCATGTGTCCATTCAAGCACACAAAATACTCCAGCCCATCGTCGCACGATCCAAGCCGCCTTGCCGCGCTCTTCCTGGGAATCAGACGCGCCGCTGTCATGCTCCACACTCGTGCCCCACAGTAAGGACACCTTAGTGTCTCTTCCCATTGTACCTGTCGCTTTATCAAATACTCTCGTGTCTTTGACCTCGTAAATCTCTGAAATACCCCTCTGTAAATCCCCACATCGTAATCCTTGTCGCCCGTCTTATGCTCGCAAGGATCGCTTACGTATAAAACATCCTCTCTGCACTTTTTCATTAGAAAACTTCGGCCGGAAGTCTTTGAAAACCGGGAGGCATTGACGAAATGGCCTGACCTTGGCGGGTTTATTTTAAAATGCGTGGTCGACACCCACCCGCCACAGAAAAACAGAAGCTTTGCTATTGATTGCCAACCGCCACCAATCTTTCCGGCGCCGTCCGTCAATGTTGCTATCATTCGCGGCGCTTTGTAGAGACAAAGCTCCCTCCAGAGGCGGCGGTTTGCCAAAGCATGAAGCTTCCGATTCACTCTAGCGGTTTGGCAGAGGACATGGATATCCCATTTCATTGTCTCGAAGACTAGTACAAGGATTCGCTCGTTCTGAATTCCCGATTCCACCGACTCAGTATCGACTCTTAGTCTCTGACTTGAACTCGAGCTCCAACTCATCTCTGATTCTGATTTAACCACCTTTAAAAAACACAAAATGGATTAAGGATATGAACCAACCTCCGGAAAAGATCATTTACTATGTCGAAGGCCGTTGTCGGAGGTTTAAATGCATATCTGGCTGGGGAAAAGAACAATATTCTGTAGTTGACAAAATGATTTGAGGAACAGCCAAATGGGGATATATGTTTATTTTTCTATTTTTCTGTCAGACGCGTGGTTAGCAATAATTGGATAATTTCAGTACTTCCGAATCAATTAAAACGTAAAATTTCAGATTGAAGAAAAGATAGGTGCCGCGTGGTGACCTAAATTATCTGCTTCGTGGCTCGAAATAGCAAATTCGAATACGTGGCCGAGTGGTAAAAAGGGGACACAAATATCTGGGGGATTTTATAATAGAATTACTGGTACCTGACTTTGGTGGCATGCACGTGGGGTTATCAGCATTTGCCACGTATAAAGTTTGAATTTTGCTGACTATTTTTGGATTTCGATTCTGGATTTTCATTCGTTAGTGTCGACCAATGGATAGTGCCACGTTAGCTTATATACCTAGAAAAGGAATTAAAGATATGTTTCGAAAAGTGAAGAATGTTTGAATATGTGTTTGCACCTTTTAACTTGGATTAGCCCGAATGATTGTCCTATTTGTAACTTTTTAAATTGTTATATTTTCAAATTTCTTGAATGGCCACAAAACTATGATCTTCGATGGTTTAGTACGAATATGTTTTGTTTTAAATCTAGCCTTCTGCCTCGACATGTGTAAGTCCGTGCTAACTCATGGTACTATTGACATTGATTTTGTAACAACGATTGAAGATAATTTTGATTTCCTAATAAAAAAAGAATGCTCCCCATTTCTTAATAAGTTTAGGGGTTGGGGCGATCTAGCCTACGGGAAATAATATAAGACGATCTTAGATATCATGATTCATCTTTAAAATATGTACTTCGATAAACTCTATTAGAAAGGAATAAAATGATATAAAGTGTTTTTCATCTTGGGAGAAATCAAGTCTAGTTCAAACATGGACTTTATTCTCTGAATATGTATTTACTGCCTACCCATAAAATATACCAATAGCACCACTGGACCCTGAAATTTAGGCAGGAACATGTGGCCAACTGATTCTAACCTTAATCTCATCCATGTGTTAAGTTTATGTACACTTGGACAAAATATTAGACGCATGCGGGCTTTCTCCGGTAGTGTGGGAGGTGGTTGTGGACATTCCATCACTCAAGTCTGTGAATGATTGAAAGGTACTTTTTGATGTGGAAGGGACACTGAATCATAGCAAAATGTATGGGTCCGAGTTGAAGAGAATTGCATTTTTTGGAAGATACTTGGTATGAGTTTTATAATGACGGGTGAGAGGTGAAATCCATTGAATACATGACACGTGGCTTTATTCTAACGGCTCACGAATCAGACTTGATAAATGTCACATCTAGTTTTCTTAGGTGTGAGACGATCTTAAAATAATTGAAAAGTGGCCACTCTATGTCTGGATTTGGCCACGTGTACGATAGATTGAAAAAGCTAGCTGAAAGCAACTACTATAGGACTACCACATCTGTCAAACGTACAAAAGTTCTCTGAATTGAACATATGTCATAGAAGATGCCTTGTGAAGCAAAGGCTTATCGCTTCAAAAGTTCACTGCAGCAACTTTGGCTCCTCGATTCGAACATGGCTCTTATCTTATTGTTAGGAAGACAAGGTGATGTGGAATGCAAGTCTAATCTCATCTTACATGCACGGCAAATTACATTCTAGAATTCTTCCATTCAAACATGGCTCTATCTTACAGTTCAGGAAGACAAAGTGAGGTGGAATGCAAGTGTCTTTTAACTGTTTTTTTAATTGATTGCCACGTTACCTGCCTTGTTTCACATGCATGACAAATTACGTTCTAGAATTCTTCCATTCAAATTTCTGTTATTTGGCATTTAGTAATTTAATATTAAAAGTGTTCAAAATAAATTTTTCATTTATTTTTACAGGTAACCATAAGCTCGTCACAAATAATAACTTGACATTCAGAGACTATTTTTTTATTTATTTTAATAAATAGATATGGATTATGTAAATATTTCTTATAATTCAAGAGCGGATGTAGGGGATTGGGTCGGGCTAGACCCATTTCATTTTTACCTTGTAACTATTTTTTTTTTTATATCAAAAATATTTTTTGATGTGTAAATTTATTGGGTTATGCTACATGCACACCCTCTTTTTTATATAATCTTTTACCTACACTCACAATGGGGTGTGATGACCACACATTTGAGAGTTTTTTATTCACGCGAGCCCCGCGCGCATGTGAGAGGGTAGCACATTTTCGATAACCCACATTCTGTACAAATAGAATTATCCAAATTTATTTATTTTTACATATTAACTCGATCTAGAATTTTTTTAGTCAGATCTTAAATCTATCCCTACTGTAATTTAGTACCGTTTGTCAAACGTGCGTATAAAGTGAATGATAATAATAGTTTGCCCTTGAAGGGAATTGCAAAATTCTATGCCCCATCACCCATGGCCATGCCGTGTGGTCTACCATGGGTTACTCACTAATTCTATATTTATGCTTAGGTAGTAGTCTGTCATTTGTTTATTATCTTATCGACTAAATAAGTCGGGCATATTTGTATATGCTTATTTTTAAGTAAAAGTCGAAAATTATTTACTTAAAAGTAATTATTAACTCATTATCAAATGAAAGCTGTTTATCCGTTTCATCACAGGCTCTGATGTGGGCTGAGCCCAAATTTAGAAGTAGGGGAGGTTCTCGATTTCGCGATTTACATTAAAGAGTAAAAAGGGATAGTTACAAAAATACCCTTAAAATTAGGAATGCTTTGAAAATCATATGAAAAATTTTTAGGAAGTAAAAAATACTGTATAAAATAAAAAAGTGACACAATATCACTTTTTTTTATAAAAATTGTCACTTTTAAAAAAAAATTAAAAAATTAAAAAAAGTAACACTAACTCAAAAAAGTGACAAATTCAAAAAAAAAACGACAAATACAAAAATAGCACCATCCAATAATACAGCACCAGTAATGATGTATTTTGATGTATACAATTTTGTTAAAAAAATGATTTGTTGTGCGTATGTGACAATGGATATTATATTCTATTGATATTGGATCCATAGTTATTTAATAAATCAACTAGGTTCTAGCATCATCCGTTAAGCCTTGCAGCATGAATACAAAATAACAAACGACTTGTCACTTTTTCGTTAAAAATGTGACATTATGTCACTTTTTTTAATATATAAGAATCTAGCATGTTAAAACCTACAAATATGTTATAGTTAGGTAACATATTACAATTCTTGAACACTAGTATTAAAATTGATTAGCTACATCAATAATATCCCTGCTCCAATGACATTGTAAAGAAAATATGTTCAAAACTTCACAAAAACACATCTTTAGAAACTATGCTTAATAAACAGTCACTTTTATTAAAAAAGTGACATTATGTCACTTTTTGTTTTCAAGTAAAGTGACAATGTCACTTTTTGT